ATTTGTGGATGCAAGACCGTTCTACCCTCAATGGACGTCCCGTGATCCTTGGTGCCGGTTTTGGAGTCGTGGTTGGCTTCCCACGCTCATTGATATTGAAACCTGGCTTGATCGAATGGACAAAAGGGGGGGGCCCTCAAGTTTGTGCACCACTACAGCGCAACTGTGGACTTTTTCAAGCTGTATTTTGGAGAGAACGCCGAGCAGGTCATCTGCATTAGCACGATGGAAGCTCAGGAAATATCTGGGCTTCTGGAAGGCTACACGACGTTCATCTTGGCTCGGCAGGCTAACTCGGCCGCTTCTTAAAAGTGCAGGTATCGGGCTGTACTTTTTTTTTTTTTTTTTTTTTTTGTTGCGTCTTTGTTGTCCTTTTTTTTTTTTTTTTTTTTTTTTTCGCACGCTCCCCTATCTCCTACTTTAGCATCTTGCGCTGGTACATGTTGTGTATCGTTGATCGTGTCAATGTCCGAATTCTTGGCTTTTTCGTGATTGCTGTAGTGCTCAATACATCGTCACGCATTTGAATGAACACAACGTTTTGTCACAACCAATGCATTTTCTGACAAACAAAGGCTTCCATAACTATAACTACTTTATCAATAACAACAACAACAACAACATGTATCATCATGAGATCATGACCGCGAGGGCAGTGTAGGTCGCTCGTCGTCGTCGGGATGTGCCATGAAACGCGCGGCTTCGGTGACTGTCGCTCCGCCAGCCGATTGTTGCAACGCAGCTGCTCGCTGCATCCACGCCGTCTGTTGCAGCATCAAGGCCAATAATGTTCACAAAACAGTGAGCCAAAGACATCCGATATGAAACGTTTGAACGATGATCACCGCTCGCTCGTGCTTCGCTCACCCAGACAGCGGCAATCCCGTCGAGTGAGGCTCCGTACTCGCCGAGGGCCTCTCGGTTGCGATGAAAGCGGGCTAATTCCTGCTCCAGCCGCTGCATCTTGGTGTTGATATCTGGCACCACAGAGCACAGCAAGAACAAATCGGAGAACTGTCAGTTTTCCCGCCAAAAATTCAACTCGCGTCCGAAGGATTGGCTGTGAGTGTAGCCATCCCATGCGGCGCTTCCCATAGCCACATTCGACTCTCTGCAACTTCAGGCAAGCATTAGTGGACTGAGTCGGGGGCCGCCAACTTGCCAGCGATGAGTACGTCAGCTGCATCCGACATTGCTGATTTTGCGACTTCTTAGGACGACTGATCTGTCTGTCTCCCCCTGCTGTCTCAATCTCCATCTAGCATCCATTGCTCAATGACGAACTATGCAAACAAAATAGATTTTGGCGTTGGGCTGCAGAACAAGCTTCTTAAATTTTCATTAAATAGATCAAACTTCAAAAAACCAACGCAAGTCGGCCGACGACAGGTAATCCCACCACTCTAAAGCTCCGTATCCCCATCGGGAATTGACTCATCAGCGACGGGTTGTTGTGGCTGTTGTTCGCCCTCGGGAGCTGACTCGAAAGCAGGTTTTCGTTGCGAATCGGGCGCAGACTCACTTTGTTCGTTGTGCGCGTCGCTCTGAGAAACCGACGCGCGCTTTTCATCAAAACCACGGCCGTCGTGTGTCTGATCAGAAGCAGGCACGCGTTCAAAACGAGCTTCAGCCTCGTGTTTGGCATCAGCGTCGGCCTCAGGCTGGAGATGGTCATCGTCCGATTCCGCTTCGCCAAAGGCTGCGTCCAATGCATCCAAGGCGCTATCGACTGAAACGCGCCGAACTGTCGCTGTGGCTGGAGCTTTGGTCGGCGGTGCCGACACTGGAGGCGCATTCGCTGCTTCTGAGTCCGACTCGTCCGACGAGTCAGCATGCTGGCCCTTTTCGGCCAAGCGCACTTCGTCGTCGTCTTCGTCGGTGAACAGCGAATCAGTATGCAAAATCATCGTTTCAATAACGAGGGCGCACTCGGACGATTCCGTGATCATGCTGGTCGCGGTGATTTTCTTGTCCCAAAGGAAGACGGGACACAACACGATGGCGAGGTTGTTTGCCGTCATTTTGTTCACGTACGAGTGATCGGCCACTCTGAACAAGGCAGGGGACGGAAGGGAATTGAAGTTGGTGAGGCCCAAGAAGTGACAACAGCGACAACAACAAAAATCAAAAGCTTTGTCACATTGCACTCACTTTTTCAAAAATTTCATCGTGAACTTCAGGGAGGTATAATGGGAGCGCGGAAGCGATTGAAGAAGATACCGGATTTCCAGGAGACGACGCGGCTCTTCGTCAACTGCACTCCAAAACGAACAGATTTCGGTCAGCACCACAAACACCAAACTCGGTTTCAAAGTTGTTTTCTCTCTCTGACACATGGACCAAAGCTTTACATTTGCAGGCTTGTCTCCACTGCTCATAGTGCGTGTTGAGCAGCAGCGGCTCGGGAAGCTCGCGGAAGTACAGCTTGAGCAGACATGCAACGGCATGAATGTCGTAACTAAATTCTTGTGTCTGCAAATTCACCTCTGAAGCGTCTGGTGACCAGGAAGACGAAGGAATTGAGCGAAGTGAATCCATGTAGCAGCAATATGACCCCCCTCCACCCCTTCGTGAGAGGCTCGAGACTCACTTTCGTCAAACAATTGCTTGAGTTTGTTGATCTTGTGCACACCGGTGGATTTACGGAAGATGCCCTCCCGTTGATAGCCTAGTCAACCACGACAATTTCAACAAGAATTAACGGTCAGAGATTGGTCAGCGGATGAACCAACAACAACAACAACAACAACAACAACCAACCAGAATTGTCAGCCGCAATACACATGCTACTACAACCTCACCTTCAATCTTTTCCATGTGCTCGACGCACTTGAGCACCACTAGCGGCACTGCACGGTTGTTGTCGTCGAAAATGCGCTCGCGCTCGACGAGATCGGCGAGTGCAATGCCAAAAACCGTGGACTCGACGTCTTTTCGAGACTTGGAGGCACCCAACTTTTCCTGTTGATGGTAGAGCGTGCGGCGATCAAAGATTTGGAGGTCGAGCATCTCTTCAATGACGTTTTTGAGCAGCATGAGCTGCGAGCGATCCACGAGGTCGAACTGGATGACAAAGCACAAAAAGTGGCGGAATCGCATGTTGAGCACTGCTAGCAGGCCAATGGTAATGACCGACTCAAAGTGCGAGCAGTAAATGTGCGCAAACACGCGAAACAGTCGACGGAAGATGGTCTTGACAATCAGCGGAAACATTGGCGGATACTCGAGCACATAGTCCTCCGGTGGGAAGATGACGGGGTCGTTGAGCTGATCGCTCACCCATGCCATCAGGTTCTCGACGTACTCTGGCGCAGACACCTTGACTGGCTCGGATTCGCCCGACTCGTCGGCCCAGTAGAACTCGAATGCGTCGCCCGCAGTCATTGACGGACAGGTCTCTGCGGTGCAGAACTCGGACAGTGTCGCATAGATGAGGTTGATCTGATGAAGACGGAGAGAGTGTCATCGAGTGAATAGTGAGTACAGTGAATTTTGAATGAATTCCAAGCAGCAGTAAGCAAAGGGTACGGTGCCGCTTCCTTTTCAATTCCAACGCATGCACAGCTCGGTTTTTTTCCTCCAATGCATGCGCTGTCCATGCACTCCAAGTCTGCACCCTTTTTCTCAGGATGGAGCAGGATGGAGCGCAATGAATTCCGCGCATCAGTAGCAAGCAGAAATGCCAATTCCAACTTTGTTCCAGTGCTTTCCATTACCCTTTTCCTCACTGTTCGTCCTCCAGCCATTGTTTTACTTGCTTTGTACTGTACCTGGTTGTAAAAGTCGACCGTGTTGAGCGCAAGCCACTCGTTGATGGTGCTTCCTTCTGGCAGCGCGACGATGGCTCGCAATGCATCCAGCGACATCTACCATACATTCATCCAGAGCAAAAGGTGAGCATTCATTCTCCAACACCTCTCGCTCTGTGTCTCAGATCAAAGACAAAAACAAAGACACCATTGGCATGGCACAGGACCAGTTCCATGCACTCAACGATCATATCATCAATCCCCAATGCAAAAGGCAAACGGCATTGAATTTTCAAAAATTTGGCTTACTGGTCCAGTGAAAGAAGAGGACGACGACGACGATGTTGCTGCTGCTGCTGCTGCTGCTCCGGATGCTGTTCCGGATCCTGCTGCTGCGGATGCTGATGCTGATGACGACGATGCGGACGGGCCGGCAGCGAAGGGACGTGCTGGGTTGTACATTGAGCTGCTGCGGCTGCTGCCCATCGACTCGCTCACTGCGCGCTTCCGCACAGACGACAATCGCTGGCTCGCTCGACGGAACTTTTCAACAACCGACATTGTTTGAATTTGAAAATAAGGAGCAAGAACAGAGAAGAACAGAGAACCAATAACAAAAAAAAAAAAAAGGGGGAGTGGAAGATTGGAAGACTGAGCTCCAAATCTCTGAGCATGTCAGATTGGGAAAAATGGGTTCTAATTCGAAGCGTACCTGACGTACGAAAATAAACAAAAGCAAAACACAAGAAAACACAAGAAAACCAAAAAAAGTAATGAAAATACGACACTGGCCCAACTTTTTTCGACCTTTGTCGGTTTCGAGAAAAAAAGTTCGAGCCGGTTCGATCTGGCTCCCTCTCTACCCCCACACTGTGTTGACAATACGATTTTATTGTAGCGTCTAGTTTTTGGGGCGGGTAGCGCACCGAGAATCGTTGGGGTGGTCGAAAAGGTGGAATTGAAGAGCGAAAACTTCCATTTTTGGACGAGCTTTATACCCTGTTTTTGGCCCAAAAACCTCTAGAAACGCTGCCCTGAGAGTTCTATTCACTGTCCACCGCTGCCATTGCAGACGCCGACCTATTTTATCACCTGTTATCATATGCAGTCTTTTTTCGTGGCCGAGCAGCAGCCGTGTGAGATCGATTTTTCCGAAACTTTTGTATCGTTGATGGTTCGGTCCAAACGAAGTGTGTTTGATCCGGTGAACAATGCCAGAGCGGCTGAACGACTACGAATGAAGCGCCGAGATGAATTTCGGGAGCAACAAGTACGCAGAAGCGAAGGCAGGGGGGGGGGGGGTGAAGGTGCCGAAGCGTTTTGGCGCGAAAATCTTCTCACTTCTCTGCCATCTACCAGGCCATCAAAGCCGTCCAAAGGCACCTCCATGCCCTTCAAGAGGCTCAAGCATCATCGCGCAAGCCCCGCCGGCGGCAGAGCATCGCCGCGGCTGCAAGTCCCGCGCCGCCTGCCGCCTACTTGACTTTTGATGCTCCCACATCCGAGCCTATCCCTGTACCATTGCAAGCAGCTGCAACCCCCGTCAGATCGCGCAGAAAGGCCACAGAGGATCTGGTCCCCGGCTCCCGTGAAGCGAAACGCCGGCGCGAGGAAGCGGTGCAGCTTGGCTGCGAAGCTCTCGTCGCTGCTGTCGCGCAGGTCCATGGCCATGACGACGCTCTGGTTGCCGAAACAGCTCAGGCTGCTGCGCAGAAATACGTGCCATCTGTCACAGCTGGCACAGTGGCCCAGATCCGCCTGCAGTGCACAGCAGAACTGCTGCCCATTCTTCCAGACCAGACACCGCAGCTTCTTGGAACGGTCGCCCATCACAAAACCAAGGACATATTAGCAACCATGCCTGGTGTGACGCGCTACGCTGTGCAACAGGCGCGCGCGAACAATCTGCACTATGGAGTTGGCCAAATCGCTCAGCGGACGCCAGCCACGCCGCGCAAGTCGCGCCCTCTAGATGCGAGCGTCCGCGCATTCACGCTGGATCACTCAGTTCCCAGTGCTCACAAGACAAAGGTGGACCCTGTCACTGGTGAGGCGAAGCCTATCGTCTACCTGGAAACATCGATGCGGAAGATGCACGAAGACGCCCAGAAAAACGGCCTCCTGTGCTCTTGGAGCGTGTTCCAGCGCGCTCTACACGCAGGAGAGTTTATATTCCAGCGGCGTGTTCCTGAAAACGGACTTTGCGGCAACTGCCACCGAGCGTTCGCGGTTTTTAGCGAGGATATCCCTTTTCTGCTGCAAGAACTGGAACGATTGACGATCGCTTTTCCGGACGCACATACGGCAGGGCTGCGTCTACAAGGGCTGAGGGACCATCTTTTCGCTTTGACAGCTGATCCAACCAAGCATTACGACCACCCCTTCCACTGCCTCGCATTCGGGTTGGACGACTGCCAGCAGCAGCACCACCTCGGCGTGCTCAGCAGTCCCCAGCCGTGCCCAATCTGCACCCAAGGCCTCACTACCCTTGCCGATCTGAGCCTGCACATCGACGCCCATCTCCCTCAAAACCCCGGCGAATGCGCCGATATGCAGACCATCCTGGAGCGAGGATGCCAAACTCTTCAGCAGTGGGTGGCGCACCTTCTCCGCTCGGCTCATACTCGATCCCTCATCAACAAGACGATCAACAACCTAGGTCCCGGTCAAGCTGTGTTCTTGTGTGATTTCAAAGTGAGTTTCGAACAGCCAAAAACTTTCCGCGATCTGTTGTCCTAACGAGCTTCGAAACTCTGTCGTCCTTCTTCCTGCTAACAGATGAAAATCATGCCAGATAACTATCGTCAGAGCAGCCAAGCTTTTTTCGCGAAAACTGGGATCTCTTTTCATGGAATAGTGTTCTTTTTCCGTCAACCCAGCACGAACGAAGTAGCCATGCTTCACTTCGACGCCTGGCTGCCCGATGAAAAACAGGACTGGATTCTGATCATCCATCATCTGCAAGCTGTGTTTGCAGTCATCAACTCGCTGATCACAGAGGGACGAGTTCCACCGTAAGAGCAGTGTTGTCGCGAAAACTGTTTGTCGCATTTCTCTCACCGCCCGCTCGTCCCAGAATCAATACTGCCTCTGTTGTTACAGACGCAGGTGCACACTACGTCAACTCGCCATTCAGCGTCTTCCTATCCAGTAAGATGCATACTCAAGCGAGTTTCGACATCACCGACCTTTGGCACTTCGAGGCTGGTGAAGGTGAGGAGCATGTCGAGCTGTCGATCCCCGAATCTTCAAGCGTACTGATAAGTTGTACATTTCAAACAGGCAAGTCACGCATCGACCTTCACTTTGCGCACGTCAGCGCAAAGTTCAGCGAGTTCATGAAAGGTGGCAACTCAATTAACAACGGCATGGATGTCGAAAAAGGTAGGGCCTTGTATTTCATGTATTCCATTTGTTTGAATCGATTATGGCTGCATTTGCTGACTGGACACGTATCAGCGCTCGCTACGATGCCAGGAACGACTGTCCACCAGCTGCACATTGACGAAGCGACGCGTCGCCGCCTTCAAAAGGTCCCAAAGAGTATCCCAACTCTGGATCAGGCAGGTCACATCGTGTACAACAACGGTGGCATGCAGGGATTCCGACTGAGCGACCGCTGCATGCTGTTCGAGTACACTGGCGAGCGGCTGCGAGAAGTCTATCGCCACGACTTCTCGACGCACCTGACCCTTGGCCAGCAGAACAGTCCGCATTGGAGCAACAACGCCGAACACCACGCCCAGATTCGGCGTGAACGAGACTCCCACCCCGAGACTGCTGCCGTTTCTCCAGCGACCCCCGAGACTGCTGCCGTTGGTACAG